CACATGATTTTATTTCATAGCCAGTTCTATGCCCGACATGGCATATACTACCATTGTTTGACTACCAGTGATTGAGGTTTAGAGTTTTTGTCCATAGACGTTCTAGGAAGCCTAGCCCTTTTGGCTCTCTTCCTCCTGTCTTTATTCTGACCCAATGTATATGACTGAGCCTTGGTTTCTGTACTGGGCTCTCCAGCCTAAATAGTCTATTCCTTGCCACTTCCCTTTCTAGAACATTGGATCTGACTCTCTACGCCTCTAGCTTCAAGTTGGAGCCTGTTTGGCAAACAGGAAGTTATGATGACTGACACAGGCTGGTGCTCCTGAAAATGTGGACCACAGACCAATGCTGGAATGCTCCTTTATACGTTAACTAACCCATGAAAAGATAACTACAGCAGACAAAAGTAAAACATGTAGGGACTCTTGCCTTACTGACCCATTACACTGATATAGACCACACTGGCTGTTCAAACTTGTCTAGTAAGTTGCATGTGGTATAAGCCCCATATTGATCAAGCCCTTCAGGTCCACATTACAACATGTGGTATGTTAAGGTTGAAGGAAAGTGCACTAAGAAGTGCCTTTAAAGATTAATCCCCTTTTTTGAGAACATAGGTATTAGAGAATAAGAGGCCAATAAGAAAATGTTTGCATACTTGCAATTAAAAAATAATATAAATGAGTGCAAAACCAAGTAATTAGATATATGATTTAAATAAGAAGAAACAACAGAAATTTAGAAAAGAAAAAAGATGGCTTAAATTGACAGGTACAGTCAAGAAGATGTCATGGAAAAGGTGGAGCTGAGCTGAGCCCTAGGAGAGGCCACACTGAATAGTTAAGACGTGGGCTGTATAGTAAATTAGCTGTATTAAATCCCCTAATATGCCCCTCAGTAACTGTGTGACCTGGATACTGCTCTGGTGGGAATGGTGGGACTCTTGGGAATGACATTAGTGCTTTATTAAAGAGGCTCTTGAGAGACCCCTAGCCCTTCAGCCATGTGAGGACACAGCGAGAAGGTGTTGGCTATAAACCAGGAAGAGGGACTTCACCAGAAAGTGACCATGCTGGTGCCTTGAATGTGGACTTCCCAGCCCACAGAACTGTGGGAAATAAATCTCTGTTGCTTATCAGCTACCCAGTCTGTAGTACTTTGTTACAGCAGACTCAACAAACCAAGACAGACAACTACTCTCTTTATGTCTCTGTATCTGCATCCAGTAGATGGGAGGATTACAAGAAAAAACAAATGTATTTATAATATTATCAAGCATATAGTTAGTGCTCAATATGTTATTTTCTCTTCACCAATACTTTCCTGATGACAGGGATTACCCAAGCAGAGAATCGATCCATTTGAAAAAAGCTATCATGTTTTCTTCTAAGTGTGTCTGAGAGGCTCTCAGCGGGTGTGGGCTTAAGCAGTAGCACATTCTGAAACTCTCCTTAGGCCAAATCTGCAGAACTCCCCATATACCTCAGACAAGGCCTTATGCTAAGGTTCTGGTTTAGTGTATGTGACAGCCTCACTGTGACTCCCCTCTTCTGGTACAGGTGTGCCTGAATGACAGCCAGGGATCTTGGCAGAGTTGACAGAACCAGCAGTGAATATAGCAATGTGTCAGGGGTGCCTGAAAGTGAAAAGCAAATTAAAAATTCCTGTTTTCAAACAAAAATGCATAGACATATACAACAATATGGCAGTTATCAGAGAGGAAGGGGATGGGTGGGAGGCAGTAAAGGGAAAAGGGGTCAAATACATGGTGATAGAAGGAGATGCGACTTTGGGTGGTAAACATGAAATGCAATATATGGATGATGTGTGGTAGAACTGTATGCTTGAAACCTATATAATTATGTAAACCAATGTCACCCTAATAAATTTAACTTAAAAAGACTTAAAAAAATTAGTGTCCATCCAATGTGTCAATAGAATATGAGTTCTGCCTTTCTCAGTCTAAACCATTTCTGAAATATATATTGTTGTGGACATAAACTGATTTTGGCTCCCCAGTATCCATCTACTCATTGCTCTTCTGGTACCCAAATCCCTGATTTACTTGGGGGAAATGATCCTCTATGAATTTAGTCATTCTTAAAAATGATTTACCCCTGGAGTTTTCAGTTGCATGAACCAATAAAAATCCCTTTTGCTGCCCTAGCTGGTGTAGCTCAGTGGATTGAATGCAGGCTGCAAACCAAAGGGTCACTGGTTCGATTCCTAGTCAGGGCACATGCCTAGGTTGTAGGCCAGGTCCCCAGTGGGAGCCACAGGAAAGGCAACCAAACAATGATGTTTCTCTAACTCTCTTTCTCCTCCCCTTCCTCTCTCTCTAAAAATAAATAAATAAAATCTTCTAAATTAAAATAATTCCTTTTGCGGAAAAAAAAATAAAGAGAAAATAAAATTCCTGTTTTCTTTTTTTCAGGAGATCATGATCAGACTAATGCACATTGGTTTCGGAATTATTTTGAATTAATGAGCATCACTGATGGATCAGTTTCTAATGTTCCTGAATAAGGAAAGTCTTCTGGCATTTTAAAGAAAAGTCCAAAATTAACTCACATTCCATAGAAATAAGCAGCTGATGATAGCAGAGAAATAATCATGGAGCAAATTGAGTATGACCAATAGCGCATTGGATGAGTCAGGGACTTTTCGAAGCCTGTTGGAGGTCTCCTGAAGAGTCAGGATTTCAGTGTGTTTATTCCTGATCTCAGCTGTCTGGGAAAGGAATTTCAACCATGCTGATTATCCCTCTCTCTCGCAGGTCTGCAAAACTAGTACCACAGCCCACTTTGCCAGCTGAGCAATCAGCAACACCAACAGGGTAAGTTGGATCTCTTCTCTGTAAAGTGTTCTGAATACACACTGGAGAAATACAGACTGAAGTGTCAGCTAAGTCCTACTGTGGGCTTTCCAAGATGGTCTTTGTCCTTGACTCTGATGGGACCCGGGGATAGGGTAGGGGTTTGGGAAACCGGATAGAACTGTAATAACAATACTGCTGTTTTATTTATTCTTTTTGGTCTGTCCTGCTAATTTCAAACATGTATGCAACCAAGATCTTCCTCAGCTCCTCCTAGAAGTGATGGCCACTGAGCTCATGCCACCAGGTATTAGAGAAGAAAGAGCATCACACAATCTTGTGGAGTGAAACTAGTTTGCAGAAGGTTAAGAAGCTGGCATCTACTGTCTCTGATGGCTGCTAGTCTTTAAAGACTACGTTTGAGATTCGTCCTTGGTTTGCTACTAATGATAATTGTGTGTATCTCCCTGCTACTGTTTCCTCCTACACACCACTACCACACATTGGCATGGGTATAGGACCAGAGGATTGAAAATAACTCTAACAACCTTAAAGTTAATTTTTTTCTGCTAACATTAATCTTTCCTCAATAAAATATTACTAAGAACAGGAGCCTGTTTTGGTATATTTTAAAATTTTACTTTGGGTTTGATATTGTTGTAGAGCAACAGTTCCGACAAAAGCAGAATGATACAATTTCTCTGTTGATGATTTCAAATCATCAGGGTGTCTGTCAGGGTGCCCACATCACTTAGAGAGTTCCCTTACTCATCCCCTTTCTGTTCAGAAAGCAAATACCCAATTGCCCTTGTTGGAGGCATATTAATTTGTACATTAATATAATCAAACATCTTGCCTTTTGGATATCTACAGACCTTTGTTATTTGCAAAATATTTTCATGTGCATTAAATTCATTTACAACTGGGGTAGTAGCAGGACAAGGATGATACACCAAGGGGCTTTTACTGGGGTTTTGGCTTTTTTGTTTTTGAAATGGGAGATACGCAGGCATGTTTAAAAGCCAACAGGAACAATCCAGGTAAGAGTGATGTTGAATATATTAGAGATAAGGGATGAATGGCAATGGAAGTTTAAAAAAATTAAGTTTGTATGTGAAGGGCACAACCAAAGTCAGGAGGAAGGGGGGTTTATCTATGTAACAGAAAGGAAGATGTCGTTGTTGCAGAAACCAATCGGTGGCAGTGATGGTAATGAGTAGTATAGGAGGCTCCCATTTGGTGGCTGGTGTCATCCCTGTCACCAGTAGAAGGGAGGTCGTGAACAAGGGGAGAGGGGTCATGGGTCAAGTCAGAACAGTGAGCAGAAAGGGTAATGTTGGAAAAGTTATGGAAACAGGGAAGAAACTGGTCAGAGAAACAGGGAAGGGCTGCCGTGGCGTCCTGAGAGCAGGGCTGAGGGGTGATCACAAATTTACATACAAAGTATTTCAGCTTTGACTCACTCAGCTGTGTATCCAGATAAAGCACCTATGCGATTTTATCCAGGGTTATGGGCTTTGCTAGAGGGGATGATAAAATATCAGGAAGGCAAAAAACTTAGGCTATTGTCAAAGTATTGCTAAAAAGATAGACTGTGGAATTAAAACCTGATAAGTAAATAAAGATATTGTTTGCTTAAATTTTTGTTTCATCCACCTCTTTTAGCTGCTACCTCAGCTTCTCTATGCATCTCTTTTTCTCTCTTTTTTTTACTGTTGTTCAAGTACAGTTGTAGACATCTCTTCAATAAACATGATTTGAACCACTGCCCACATCAAACAGAACACTTGGCGCCAGGTATAACCTGAAAGGTAAACTTACCTCAGCAGGTGGATGGAAAAGTCATTCCGGTGTCTTGCTAAATATTCCCTTCATTAATCTCTATATTTGCCTACCTGTTTTGAAAAAAAATGAGTCTGACTCAGCTACTTGCCTTTTCATTATTTACACCTTCTGAAGTGTACTTGTGGCCAGCAGTTGAGGACAGAAAAGGTGAAGGACAAACTTTTCGTCAGTGCCACTGGTCACATTGCAGGAGATGTGTAGATAAGAAATGCACCAGAAAAGCCAATACCAGGCATGGAGGTTTAAAGAAACCGCACCTAGAGTTACGGTCAGCGGTAGTTGACGCGGGTCAGACCACGTGACCGGGTTCCAGTGAGTTTGCGCACAAGCTCTCCGGTCCTACCCACCTGGTGTGTGCACGCAGGCACACAAGGACCACCGTTGGAGGCCCGGGCGGCCTAAGGGAGGAGCCTGAGGGCCAGCTGGGTCCTGGGCTCCTTGTTACCTGAGTAATGACCTCTGGGCAGGGTCTGGGGACCCGGAGCTGAGAGCACCGCCAGCTGAGATCTGCCTCCTGAGCCAGGCCTGCGCAGAAACGCCCCTAAGCCTGGGCCTGGACCTGAGAGTGTGACACTCGATCGATCCTGGGGACCTTCAACAAGTGAAATGAGGGGTAATGCTATCAGTTGGCTTATGAGTTTTCTGAAGTGTTACAAGCCATAAGGGGGCATGGAGACAGGATTTTCCCACACAAAGGCTGGGCTCACCCCGTCTGAGTCTCTGGGTCATAGCCCAGGACTGTTGTCCCTGAACATCTGAAATGAATTCCTCGAGTTCTGGGAGCTGACACTGACTCGGGGGCCAGTGCTGAGAATCAGCCGCGAGATTGCACGGTGATCCGGAGGCATGCACGTCCAGCACGTTAGGGGAATAGGAGAGCAGGCCCCCCAAAGAGCGTCACTGTGGGAGCTGTTGGGGCTGAAGCGGACGGAGTGGCGGGGATGAGGCTGAGAAGGTGGGCCAGGGGCAGTTAATGAAGGGCTCCGTATGCCCCACTGCAGAATTTCCAGACAGGGAGGAGTTGGTTGCATGGCTACCAAAGATGCTAAAGATGGAGAAGTGGTTTCTAGACATGCGCTCTCTGGGAGTATTCCAGAATTTGTAAAGAAAGTTTGGGGACTTGGCAGCAAGGGCTCTGGACTTGTCCTGCAGCTGCTTTTTGTGTTAGTGATGGAATCAACCGAAAATAACAAAGAATAAATGACTAATTTTATTTATGTATTTAACAAAAATGGGATAGTTAACTGGGTTGTGTAGTATCTGCATGTAGAATGTCTTTTTTAAAAAATTCTAACCATCATTTATTCCGGGAATATACTCTAGCATTTCTTAGTTTCTTCCTTTCATCAGTTAAGCTAAGGATTTTCAACAGACACACATACCTTCTTTTCTTTAGTATTTTAATGAACACTTCGTTTTGGGCAGTTTTGGTAGGAGCCTGATAAAGATGATAGTAATGCTAAATATTCTGCTCCCCAAGTCACTCTTGCCGCTTACACTGTCAACTATGAACGTGAAAAGAATTTTTATGTATACACAAAAGGACTTATTGTATTTATTACTATCCTTCTGTTTGAAAAGTTAAATAATAGCAATTGAGATATGGCTTTTCCTCATCACTGTCTATAAATTCTGTAATTCTATCTCTTTTTATTTAAGCATGACAGAATGATTAATCTTGGTTGCCTATAGGCGTATACCCTTTCTTTTGGTATTTCTCAGAGGTAGTGTTTGAATATAAAAAGCTTACTACTTATACTTCAATTATGTTTTTTTAATTTTTACAAATTTTATTTAGTTATTTTTCAAGTACATTTTTTATCTATTTCTCCCATCCCACCCCCCCTCGCCCCGTCTCCTCCCTCTCTCCCATTTCCGCTGCCCCCCCCCCCCCAGTCCTCATCCCCGTGTCTTTCATACTTGTTCCTCAAAATCCCTCCCCATTTTTCCCCTTAAATTCCCTTCCCTCTCCCCTCTGGTCGCTGCCCACTTGTTCTCTATTTCAGTGTCTTTGTTTTTATTCTGCTTGATTGTTTGTTTTATTGTTGAGCTTCCTGTCAAAGGTGAGATCATATGGTATTTGTCCTTTATACTTCAATTATGTTTTTAAATTTTATTTATTTATCTTTAGAAGGGAAGGGAAGGAGAGAAGGAGAGAAATATCAATGTATGGTTGCTTCTGGTGCATCCCCTGCTGGGAACTGGCCTGCAACCCAGACATGTGCCCTGGCAGGGAGCCAAACCAAGATCTTTTGGTTTGCAGGCCTGTGCTCAGTCCACTGAGCTACATCAGCCAGGGTCTTATACTTCAATTATTAATGTACTGTTTTTTCTATTCTCTGTCAGTAGCTCTGGGATACTTACCTAGGTTTTTTTTCTGTCTCTATACTGTACAAAATTAAGAGACATTCAGAAAATCAGTTTTAGAAACGAAGGCTCTTCAAAATAATCAAGTCATGAGATTTTAAGGATGCAGGGAATTAAAGGTCCTCTAGTCCATACTCCCTGCTTTCTGAAAAGAGAAAGTTTTAGGATCATCTATCAGGTGATCACCTGGCTAAGTGGCATCACTGATATTATTGACCTAAATATGACATGTTAGAAGATGTAGAGCAGTTTAATTTCTGACCCACAAGAGGATAAAGCCCCTTAAGGGGGATACAATTTTTATCCAGGTTTTTATCTTAAAGTAAATAAGAAGATAATCTAAACACCAGAGAGAAATACAGGACTATAAGCTGGGGGGGCGGGGGGAACCCAGCAGAAGTCTTTTAGAGGGTGGAGTGATGGAAGAAAAAGGTCTTGCATCTAGAAAGAGGAACTAGGTAGCAGGTATGTGTCAGGAAAAAAATCACAAGCCCATAATAAACTTAAGTACAAGACCTTGATTTTGAAAATGCAAACATAGCATTAGGAATTGCAATGAATTGATTGTGAATTGCAAGTGAATTGTTAAAAGCTTTACCAGGAATTTTCCAACACTGTTCCCTAAGTTTTCTTTCTACCTTATCATCCAGACATTTGTTCACTACTCAGAAAATATCCGTAGTATACCAATATTTTTTAGCCACAGGCTTTTCAGTTGAGACTCTTATTCAGAACAGGTAAATGCAAGTTGATGCTACTAAATTATATATATATATATATATATATATATATATATAAAGATTTTATTTATTTATCTTTACAGGGGAAGGGAAGGAGAAAGGGAGAGAAATATCAATATATGGTTGCCTCTTATAAGTCCCCTGATGGGAACTGGCCTGCAACCCAGGCATGTGCCCTGACTGAGAATCGAACCATGGTTGCTTGGTTCCCAGGCCCGCACTTAATCCACTGAGCTACACCAGTCAGGGCTTGATGCTACTAAAAATGAAGGCATGAGAAGAAGAGAGTGATTACCTCTGAGTTTGGGGAGGTGGCTGTGAAATAATAAAGAATCAAACTTAATTATTTTTTTTGAGCAAAATGTGTATATGTGTTTTGTATTGTTTTGTAGAAGTTTGCTAATAAAGATATCACCAAAGATTAGAGACGTAATCATCTAGAGGAAATGCTAGTAGTATGGCTGTATGTTCAAATCTTTCTACAGCAGATGCACTTGTGTTAGGGGTAAGTACCACTTCACTTTGACTACATTTGAGGTCATGCACTAGTTCAATTTAATAAGGAACATTCTTGGATCTGGAAAGGGTCAGGTTTGGTTAAGCCAACAGGGTAAAACTTGTTGTTTTTTTTTTAAATGTTGATTGTTTTTTTACAAATTTTGAGTGATCTCATGGCCCTTCATAAACTAGTATCTGTCAGATACAAGCAAACTGACCAAACTCACATACACAGGGAAATAGACAAAATCCAAAGTAGACATTTAAAAACCAGTATGTTTTTTAACTGTAAAAGAGATCTATTGCTGATCCCTTTTAAGTACTGTATTGATGTCTATGCAGCAGAATGATTATCAATCTGTCTCTTAAGTTATACACACTATACGCAGAGAGTTTATCTAGCTCTCTTACAAAAACACCAAGGAATTGTGGAGACCATGCTCTTTCACATGTAAAGGGGAAAACAGTTTCTCACTGGGTGTGAACTTTTCCTTGAAGCTACCTACTATGTAGACCTAAGTCTTCCACCTGACTGTTCAGCAGGGGTTCTTAACCTCTTTGGAGTCACGGACCCCCTAGATATAGGAAGGAAGCTCTGAATCTTCTTCTCAGACTCACGTGTCTATCATAACCCTTTGCACTCATTTTTCCCTCAGGGGAGGACTATGTCTTCCTGGAACCCATTCTTTGGCATTAGGTTAAGAACCATTTTTGAATAAGAAAACCCATCTTGTCCTTCAAACACTAGCAGCTGTGCTTTCTTGTACGGTTCAAACACTAGCAGCTGTGCTTTCTTGTAGATTGGTAATTGTTCTATATAAAACCATGATGGTTTTATATAGGACAATTACCAATCATATAAAAAGGGACACTATTTTTCAAACCCAGTCACTTTTTTAACAGTTGGAAAGTCCTGTGGAATTTATGTTCTTGATACTGAGGTGCTTCCACAGAGGGTATTTCCTGGGTGCCTGCTCTGCACTGGGCACCACAGCAGAGACTGAGGACCAGCTGAGGTCCAGGCCCTGGAGAATTCTGTGATCTAGTAGAGAATTTTTCCCCCCAGTCAGATCCAAAGGACCTCTAAAAATAATGCTGTTCTTCCAAATTGGGTATAGAGGAAATCTTAAATTCTAAATCTATAAAAATACATGGCATTATTACCTACAACAGTGGTCTTTCTATACCAAAAAACCCACTTCTCTAAAATATATATTTAATATCAGCCAATTGCATTTATGTGTTTCATTAATGACTTGCTTTACACAGAACTGGAACTATTAAACTTAAAACATTAAATAGCTTTTTAATTATAATTTATATGAAAATGAAAGTAATCTCTCTGAAATTTTTAAAGGGTAATTTAAAATGTGATTCAGAATATGAAATACCAGTTTATATATACAGTCAGAGATATTTTTTATGCAGACATATTTACTGAGATTGTAATTATATTCTTACACATTAAAGTTGAGTAATAATTCTCCCCTAACCCTAACCCATCCCCATTCAATAGGAAGACCTTGTGCAAGCAAGTCTACTTTGGGTACTCTTTGTATCTCTGTGTACCTCATCCCAGCATGCTTGTGAAAAGGACCCATACCAAGGATTTATTGAAGGAAAAAAGATATAAAACTTTGTAAGATTCAAAAAGTGATTCATTGATTCATTGATTTTCTTGTTCATAATGGACAAGAAAATGTTGGATATGTGGCTACCTGCATCCAAATAGATTAGTAACCACATTTCCTCTCAAGTACCCTCAGTATTCTCCCTTCATGCCATTACTGCATAGAAAAGGAGAGTAACCAGTGATGGAGTCAGATTGTCAACTTTCTTTTGGGAGAATTTGCCAGAATTATTAAGGAACAATGATTAGGTGCTCCAGGTATGGTGATTTCTATTTGGTAAGCCTCAGTCTGTACTTCTTGGTGAAGACCTTCTTCTTGGGTGAATCAATCCAAGAAATACATGGCTAAGTGTATTACTATTTTATCTTTTATAAAAGTTTTGAATGTTTCTCATAATTAACAGTTGTTGGAATTGTATTATAAATTACATGATTTCAGTACTAATAGCACTCACTCTTTTCTCATAGGCTATCCAGATTTTGATTGGCATCTTTCATGTTTTCATGTGGTATTTCCTATTGATTATGTATATGGGACAGATTAAAGGAGTCTTTGGGACCTATGAACCTCTAACTTACAAAACAGGATGTCCTTTATGGGGAATTATTGTGAGTAGAATGCATTTATATGATTTAATCATTCAGTAAATAATATGCATGCCTCTAATGGAAGATAGAGAGCAGTTTCTAAAGAGTTTTCAGAAGAATTATTTAACAAAACTCCAGGTTGGTAATTCATTCAAAATCAATTTGCATTTTTCAATAGATATTTTTTGAGCACTATTAATTTGCCTGTGATGTTACAAGAGATGTGGATACAGGAGTGAATACACAATCACAACCATAGGTTAAATTGCCCTTAGATATATGAGAAACGAAGCATCTCAACCATGATATCCATTAGCATGGTCAGCTTTCATATCAGGGTTGTTATATAAGCTTCTTCACACAATGAGATTATAATCATACACTGTCTAAATTTGCTGCTACCTGAACTCTTCTGTGGTTCTTACATAGCTGTAATATAGTAGAAAAACCTGGAGAGCCTGGCATCCTGGAAACCAAATAAACAAAGAAACAGGGAAAGAGAAACTATTAAATCCTGTTGGTTTTTAAAAATATATTTATTTATTTTTAGAGAGTGGGGAAGGGAAGGAGAAAGAGAGGGAAAAAAGCATCAGTGTGTGGTTGTGTCTTGCATACTCCCTTCTGGGGACCTGGGCCACAAACCAGGAATATTCCCTAGACTGTGAATTGAACTGCAACCTTTCGGTTCAAAGGCCCACATTCAGTCCACTGAACTATACCAGCCAGGGCTAAATTCTGTTATTTTATCAATTAAGACAAGGGCTGATCATGGGATTTAGCAATACAGAGGCCTATAGTAAACTTGATAAGTAGTTTCAGGGGAATAGTGGGGCACAAGCCTGCCTGGAGTTGGTTTAAGACATAGTGGGAGAAAGGAATTATTGACATTAAACACAGACAACTCCTTGAAGGACTTTGATTAATGTGGTGTAGTGAAATGAGGTGGTAGCTGGGGAAAGTTTGGGTCAAGAGAGGGTTTGCTTACTTGTTTTAGTAAGTTGGAAGTATCATGTCTTTTATTGAGGAAAATGAATCAGAAGAGAAAATTGATGACATGAAATAAATGGTGGAAGAGAGGGATCATTAAAATTATGTACTTGTGTAGGCAAGAGATGATGAATTTTAATACACAAATAGCTAAGAGCACGGACAGCTCATCTCTAGCAGTGGTTCTCAACTTGAGGTGGTTTTGCCAGTCAGAGGACATTTGGTAGTGCCTGGAGACAAGTTTGGTTTTCACAGCTGGGGGTGTGGACCTAGTGGGCAGAGACCATGGATGCTGATAAACATCCTACAGTGCATAGGACAGCTCCCACAACAAAGACTTATCCATTTTTAATGTAAATAGTGTCAAGGTAGAAGAACACAGAGAGAGGAGAAACGTTTTGTTAAGTAAGTAGATGGGAAGTTGGGAAGTTGTGCAACTTCTCTTCCAATGGTTTGAAATATTTTGGTGAGTGAGAAATCAAGACCATGAGCTATGAGTGTGAGTGGCAGAGTAGATTGGTTGTTTGAGGAGAGAGGAGGGGACATGAAATAGTCATGTAGGAAAAGTGAGAAAGTGTGTGTATTATGAAAAATTGGTTCAACTTCCATACAGCAGTAAGGGCTTAACTGAGCTTATAGTGAGATGGGTCAAGAAGGTTGTGTGTCTTTCTCAGGCCATGATTGGCTGCATGGGTACAGGTGTGCAGTAAGAAGAACTGCACTTAATCAGGGTTTTGGTCCAAGCATGCAGCTGTGACTAAACAAGAAAGATGCAAAGGAGTTGATAGTGTATATAATAAGTGAATGTTTGTAGAGTTTGACCATGGAATTTAAGAGAATTATGGAGAGAATGTAACAGGGGGGTGAGGGTCTCAGATTATAAATCTAGATGGGGGCATGAGCTAGAATGATAGAAGTTGGTGGTCAGAGTGGGCCATTTGAAACTGAGATTTGAAAGATGTTACAGTTACTGGTAGAAACAAGAACAAGAGAATGGATATGAGAGTGAGTGATTGAAATAGGATCGAGTTAAAGGATTGAAGGACATAAATTTAAAGAACCACAAGCCCAGCAAAGATTAAGAGATGTTAGAAAGAGAGTTAAAAGATGAGATTAAAATTACCTAGAAAGAGGAGAGTGACCAAGGAGTCAACACATTACTTTCACCAGGAGGGACAGCAGGTGATAGAATCTGATGACATTTGATTCAAAGCTAGAGGAGAGAGAATGGTTGGAAATAGCAGTAAGGAGCAGGGAGACCACTTACCCCGTGCTTACAACCAATGTCTAAGCCTTGCCTCAGGGGTGCCCAACCTTTTGGCATCTCTGGGCCACACTGGAAGAGAAAGAGTTGTATTGGGTGACATATTAAATATACAAACAGTAATGAAAATTGATGAGCAAAAACAAAGTTTTAAGTAAATTTACAATTTTGTGTTGGGTCACATTCAAAGCTATCCTGGGCCACATGGGGCTCACGAGCCTTGGGTTGGAAAACCCTGGAAGGGCTGTTGGAGATGAAATGGCTGCTAATTGACAGGGCTTTGCCCAAAGCAGTGGTCTCTAGGAGATACTCTGCCTTTCCACATTGGCTCACAAGTATCAAAGCACTGCATTGGAAAACAATGGGGGAAAAATAGTGAGTTTGCTGGCAAAATCCCAATAAATGATTCATGTCCCTCAGCATTTAATTATTTATATTATCAAAGTAGCATATTTAGGACTTCTGGCCAAGATGGAGGCGTAGGTAGACTCACTGCACCTCCTTGCACAGCCAAAAGAAGGACAACAAATTTAAAAACAAAAAACAACCAGAACTGACAGAAAATTGAACTGTATGGAAGTTTGACAACCAAGGAGTTAAAGAAGAAACATTCATCCAGACTGGTAGGCAGGTCAGAGACAGGTAGCCAGGCAGAGAGGACTCGCAGCAAAGTAGTGGCTGGAGGACCAGGGAGGGCAAGGCTGCAGCTGGCAGACAAGGTGGCAGCTGGCAGACCCAGAGAGGAGGCATATTCAGGACTGGGTACAGATAAACCAGGAGGAGCAACTGAGGAGCAAGACAGACCACAGGACCCAATTTCAGTGCATGGAAATAAAGTCTCAAATTTCTGATTGAAAACACCTGTGGGGGTTGAGGCAGCAGCAGAAAAAACTGCCAGCCTCAGAGGAGAGTTCATTGGAGAGACCAATAGTGTCCTAGAACATACACAAGACCAGCCACCCAGGTATCAACACCAGAAGTGCCAAATTTGATTATGGGTAGTGGGGCAAGTGACTGAAAACCAGCAGAGAGCTGAGCAAGTGGCATTGTTCCCTTTTGGATCCCTCCCCCACATACAGTGTCACAACGCAGTGATGTGGGTTGCCCCACCATGGTGAACACCTAAGGCTTTACCCCTTACTACATAATGGGCACACTGAGACAAAAAATTGCCCAAATGAAAGAACAGATCAAAGCACCAGAAAAAGTACAGCTACATGATGAAGAGATAGCCAACCTATCAGATGCACAGTTCAAAACACTGGTTATCAGGATGCTTACAGAATTGATTGAATATAGTCACAAATTAGATGAAAGAATAAGGGCTACACTAAGTGAAATAAAGGAAAATGTACAGGAACCAACAGTGATGGGAGGGAAACCAGGACTCAAATCAACAGTGTGGACCAGAAAGAAGAAAGAAACATTCAACCAGAACAGAATGAAGAAACAATTCAAAAAAGTGAGGAGAGGCTTAAGAACTTCCAGGACATCTTTAAATATTCCAACATCCAAATGGTAAAGGTACCAGATGGAGAAGAGGAAAAGCAACAAATTGAAAACTTACTTGAACAAATAATGAAGGAGAACTTCCCCAATCTGGCAGAAGAAATAGACTTCCAGGAAGTCCAGGAAGCTCAGAGAGTCCTAAAGAAGTTGGATCCAAGGAGGAACACACCAAGGCACATCATAATTATGTTACCCAAGATTAAAATGAAGGAGAGAATCCTAGAAGCATCAAGAGATAAGGAGACAGGTACTTACAAAGGAGTGTCCAGAAGACTGTCAGCTGATTTCCCAAAAGACACCTTACAGGCAAGAAGGGGCTGGAAAGAAGTATTCCAAGTCATGAAAGGCAAGGACCTACATCCAAGATTACTCTATCCAGCAAAGCTTTCATTTGGAATGGAAGGGCAGATAAAGTGCTTCCTAGATAAGGTCAAGTTAAAGGAGTTCATCATCACCAAGCCCTTATTATATGAAATGTTAAAGGGACTTATCTAAGAAAAATAAGATAAAAATTATGAACAGTAAAATGACAACATACTCACAGTTATTAACAACCACACCTAAAACAAAAACAAAAACAAACTAAGTGAACAACTAGAACAGGATCAGAATCACTGAAATGGATATCACATGAAGGGTTATCAGTGGGGGAGTGGGAGGAGGAGAGAGGGGAAAACGGTACAGAGAATCAATAGCATAAGTAGGTAGAAAATACACAGGTGGAGGTCAAGAATAGTATAGGAAATGTAGAAGCCAAAGAGCTTACATGTATGGCCCATGGACATAAACTAAAGGGAGGGAATGTGAGTAGGAGGGGGTGTGCAGGGTGGAGGGGAATAAAGGGGGTGGAAATGGGACAACTGTAATAGAATAATTGATAAAATATATTTTAAATATATAAAACATTACTCCCCCCAAAATAGCATATTTAGCTCCTAGAAGAAATTACCTAAAAAATTTATGAAATTTAACCCAATCCAAAACAACTTTTTAAAAATTTTATTTATCTTTATAGGGGAAGGGAAGGAGAGAGAGATAGAAATATCAATGTATGGTTGCCTCTCATGCATCCTCTGCTGGGAACTGGCCTGCAAACCAGGCATGTGCCCTGACTGGGAATCAAACCGTAGTTGCTTGGTTCCCAGGCCCGCGCTCAATCCACTGAGCTACACTAGCCAGGGCCGAAAACTTCTTACTTAGGTCATAAACTTTGGGTGTTTTGTAAAGTACATGGTTTGGTAGTTTAAATTAGAGAACACTTCAGTTTAAAATTCAAAAGATATTTTTACTTTCTATTCTGAGTTAGCCCTTACCTTCACTATGTATGTCCTTGGAAATCTCAACTTTTGTTACAGAATGAAGTGCTGAGTGTGTAGATTTAAGTTATCCTTGAGGAGTTCATAAGATTCAGATTTGACCTTTTTTTTTGGTATGGTGCCTAGTATGAATACTATTTTTCCACAAATTAAAACACAACAGATAAAACAAAAAGAATACTTGTTCAGCTCATCTTCAAAAAGTGTGGCATCAGTTTATATTTCCAGGAAACAGACAAAGCAGCCTGTTGTGAAGTAATGGAACTCTTTTTGAAAACAAAGACAAAAATATGAGCCCTGGCTGTATAGCGATATCTTGCCGGTGAGGAGGACCATGAGAGCCACTGATATTACCCCGAAAAGACAAAAATATGAATAGCAGCTGTTAACTTCGTAGTGTCATAGTTTCAGTTAAGAGGTATATTCTGTGCAAACACAATTTTGAGTAGACTCATGGGACACTGTTTTCACATCTGGATATGAATGATTATACAGCAGTTATAATCAGTGGCATCATTTCATGAGGAAGGATGGCATTCCAAGTCATAACTGAATGAGTTCAGAAAGCCTGCACAGATTTGGCCCCTTACTCAGGACCACCTAAGTTATCTTTGTCATATACCACAACCTGAATTCTGCAGTGTCCCCTATATATTTCTGTTACTAGTGACCCTGCTATTGCTTTCAAATTCATTACGATGTGTCCTGACACCTTCAACTGAAATTTTTTTCTATTTTACCACTCTTAGTATTATAAAAATAATTGACTTAGAAGAGGGAGTTGTTAAAAATACATTTTAAGTTGATGAGCATTATTAATGAATATTTATAAATATATGTTTTTATATCCAGTTTATCATTTCAGGAATGTTCTTAATTAAAATAGCAAGGAATCCAACTCTACGCCAGGTAAGTTGAAATGTTTAGGGTATCCTAGAAATCATTCGTCACAAAGCTAAATAAGTTTTAATGAAAAGACTGTGAGTATCTAAACAATGCAGGAATCTACTCTACCTGTAAAATAAATGAAGAAATTAAGTGAAAATCCAAACACACATACTTTAATGTAGACAAACACACTATATTAGTTAGGATCTATGATATGTAAAAGTTTCTAAATTTATTTTTTATTATTATTTTTTCATAGGAAAATTCTTTAAAAAGTTTTTATTTAATTATTTTTCAAGTACAGTATTCTGTCTTTTATGCCAATCCCAGCCCACCTCCCCCTGTGCCCCCCACCTCCCTCCCTTTTTCACCCCCTTGGTTGTTGTCCATGTGTCCTTTATACTAGTTCCTGTAAATTTATATATATAGCTTTTTTTGGGTTTGGTATTCTACCTTCTTTTAAGGGTGTATAAACTTTTCAAAAAATGTAATAGGACCTAATGTTTTTATATACAAACATACCACTGCTATAAAACTCCATTTTCCTAACTATCCAGTTTGCAAACAGAATTGCATCTTGTAATAAAATAAAGGATATGTTCGAAATAAGATTCATCTTTGATATAGGCAGAAAGCTATTGGGAAGGGAAAATTTTAGAGTTAAACAGTACCTTAGAAATTAATTCATCTTATCTCATAATTGTACAGATAAAAAAGCTACGTATAATTGTACAGATATCCAGAGGTATTAAGGGATTTTTCTTAGAGATTTAAAACCTAGCATTAAAAATCATTGATTCCTATTTGGCTTATTTCTACAAGTAGTCCTTTTCCATGTTTTTCTTCTATTTTTCTGTTTGCAGTGAACTCCTTTTGTTAGAATCACATCTTATAAGGCTTTCTTCCAACTGACTCAGAAGATTGTAAAATCTTTTAGCCCAAATGAAAGATTTATGCTTAATGATGTGATAATATTTTCATGTTTTCTCCAAATTTACTATGTTTTATATAAATCAGAAAAATAATTTATTCTAATAGCAAGCATACCAACATTTCTAAAGTTTCAGAAACTAGATTGGTTTTAACTAGATGATTTTTTTAGCACACTGCCTAACCGAAGTGCTTATTCTGATCGTAATAAATTTAACCTATATCTTCTTTTCAGGTTGCATGTGCTTTGATCTTGCACGTCTTCTGCATAATTGTTACAGTCGTTGGAGTAGTGCTGACTGTATTAGAGTTGTCTACTTTTGGTTCTGTGTCATATAGGAACTATGGACAAGCGGTAAGTGACCAATTCTGTAGGAACTTCTCAATTTCGAAGTGATTCCTTTCAGAGGTTTTGAAGGCTTAGGAGGTAAAATTAGGATTTACTGGTCCTCACAAAACTCTCTGTTTTAATTACTATTGGTTGAAATAGTAATTAAGCTCTTGGTTGAAAATTCTAACTCAAAAATAATTCTATCATAATTCTTTGTAAATATTACTAGAATATTTGAATTCTTGATATATTCAATTAAAATAGAGCAAGTAAATACTTTGAAGGCTTTGGTGGTAAGTATATCTGCATTAGGCATGGTTTCACTGATGATGCTTTTAAAGAAAGAAAAGTATAATGCTCAACCTTAAGACCATTCCCATAACCGACAAAAGAACTCTGCTATTTATGCACATAGTTGGAATTATAGATGCCTCATAACTTCAGGTTTAACATATAACATTTCATGAGCAGCCTATTTTTGTATCTCATGTGAGTTTTGCTTTAAGCCCTTAAGTACCACATAAATGTGAATATCTTTACTGATATAATAGTTTTTTTCCCAATGTTGGCTCTAGATTTAGAATCACAGATTATTACTGCTGCAGTACTTATAAAATCTTCTGTGTAAAATCATAACAGATTGGAGTGGAGCTCCTCTTTGTTACTGAACAACAGAGCAAAACAAAGAACTATTTGAACGTTTTAATTCAAACATCTTTCTAATGAGTAGAAGAGTCAACATAGGTGAGGGATAAACTTCCCACTCCCTCCATGTACCCCCCCCTCTGTGGGACCATCAGTGGAAGGAACCCAAGCATGGAGATGAAAAAAGGTACAATAATCCCAAAATAGATTGTGTGTAATTAATGATATATTGATTTAAATAAGCATGAGTCAGATTTTCCCTATAAATTATAAGAAAACTCTCCACTTGCCCTGGAAATTCAATATACAAATCTTCAACTTTAATTTTTGGGCCAAAGATAGGGAGGGGAATTAAGTATAGAGGAATGTCAAGTTATTGTATCTTACCGCTCTTATTCATAAACTTGTAGTCATCAGTTTAAAATAATATGGCATAATCCCTGCTTGGTGTGGCTTAGTGTATTGACTGCTAGCCTGCAAACCAAAGGGTTGCCTGTTCAATACCCAGTCAGGGCACATGCCTAGTTTGTGAGCCAGGTCAGGACCCCAGTAGTGAGCATATGAGAAGCAACCACACATTGATGTTTCTCTCCCTGTCTCCTTCCATTACCCTCTCTCTAAAATACATATAAATAAAATATTTTTTTAAAAGATAACATGACATAATTGCTAAGGCCTACCTTTTGCAAATATTATTACAAAGCACTGCACACTGTATTTACCTGACACAAACTCAGTGTTAATGATCAGTTTCACAATCCACCAAACACACATTTCAGCTTTATTTCCTGTAATTTGTTACACAAAATGAGCTTGTATGTTAGGCTTACATCTCTTATTTTAGAGGTATTATAGAATTATCTACCTACATTTACAAAAGCATTGTATAGGATTTCCTATATGCCAGTCTTTCCAACATAAACAAGTGGCTTGACTAAATCCACAAACTCATCAAATTACCACTGTTCGTAGGTAGGTTCTGGTAGCTCCAAAAGTGTATGCCTCAAAATGTAGTCCTCATAGAGCAAAATGGTAAGTAGTATATATAAATCCAGAGCCAGACTGTCTTTATTTAAACACCATCTTCAGTACTCAGTGTGTGTGACCTCCTTGGACAAGTTTCTTAACTTCCTTGTTCCTTAGTTTCTTTGTGTGTAAATGGAGAAAATAGCATAATCTATTAGTTAACTGCTTTGTCTGTCTCCCAAACTCCAGTCTTCTTGTTCTAATGGCCAGCTTGACTTTTCTACTTGGATATGCTTCTAGCATCATCATCTCAAATGCAACAGATAAAAAATGGAAAATATTTACCTCCTCAAAAATACTGTACTTCAAAACTCCCTATTTCAATCTCCTAGGCTCAAACTTTTCTGTAACCCCTTTCTCTACACTGTCTTCCCAATTACCAAGTACTGGTTTTTTTTTACTTAAATTTTTATTAATTAGAACTCTTTTTCTTGTGACAACCCAAAGTGATTGAAGTAAAAAAAATGGTCACTTACTGACTTAAATTGCATTTAGAAGCTTAAATTATGTGTTCAGAACTCAATCACTCTCTCTGTTGTTCTTGAACTTCTTTGGCAGACATCTTGCTACTTTCAGGGAGAGGGTTTGAGAATAACACTAACATATAAATTAAGGAATATGGGCAAAATGACTTTTTATAATCTTGCCCACTAAGAAGTCACAAGTACTTTTCAGCTAAAAAAATGTTACGATCATGTTTCTGCCAAGAAAATTAAATCAGAATTCTTCACCTTGCTATTTCAAACCCTTTATAGTCTTTATCTTGCCTTATTGTACGTGAGTGAACACTATAACTTGAGTTAAACATTTTATCGTTTTCTCAACATGTCATACTCTTTCTTGCATTCAGTTTTTTGCTAACATTATCAAACCATAGATCATGTGATATATATTTTAGCTATATTGTTGGTCCTTTTTAATGTCTCCATTTCTTAATTATTTTGTCACACTTGTAATTTATGCTATTAAATTATTTTTGGAACAAGAAAGGTTACAAAGAAACAAGTAAATTAAAGCTGCAGAGTGTTGCTTCCCCATTTCCCTTTTCTCAGTTCTACTCTTATTTCAAAGGTCCTACCTCTTTATGAAGCCCAACTAGATATGAATGACTTAGGGCGGATCTCCTGTTCCTGGTGATGATGAACTCCCTTAACTTTATTTTTTCTTGGAAGTACTTTATCTGCCCTCCCATTTTCTGGATTGAGTAATCTTGGATGTAGGCCCCTGCCTTTTATGACTTCAAATACTTCTTTCCAGACCCTTTGTGCCTGCAAGGTTTCTTTTGAGAAATCAAGTGTTAGTCTAACTGTCTCCTTGTCTTTTGTTGCTTTGAAGATTCTCTACTTCTCTTTAATCTGGGGTAATGTAATTATAATGTGCCTTGGAGTGTGCTTCCTTGGGTCTGACCTCTTTGGCACTCTCTGAGCTTCCTGGACTTCCTGGAGTCTATTTCCTTTACCAGATTGTGGAAGTTCTCTTTCATTATTTTTTCAAATAAATTTTCAATTTGTTGCTCTTCCTCTTCTCTTTCTGGAACCCTGTGATTCAGATGTTGGAATATTTAAAGTTGTCCCAGAGGTTCCTAAGCCTCTCCTCACTTTTTTTGAATTCTTGTTTCTTCGTTCTGTTCTGGTTGAATGTTTATTTCTTCTTTGCATTCCAAATTGTTGATTTGAGTCCCAGTTTCCTTCCATTCACTGTTGGCTCCCTGTATATTTTCCTTTATTTCACTTTGCATAGCCTTCACTTCTTCCTCAATTTTGTATCTATACTCAATCATTTTTGTGAGAATCCTGGTTACCAGCGTTTTGAACTGTGCACCTGATAGGTTGGTTATCTCCTCATTGCTTATTTTTTTTCTGGAGTTTTGACCTGTTGTTTAGGCCGTATTCATTTGTCTCACGTGCCTGTTATGTTTTAAGAGGTGGGGCCTTAGGTATTTGTCAGGGCAGGACAACCGAGTTCACCTAGTTTTTGTACTGTATGTGGGGGACAGATCTGAGAGGAAACAGTGCCACTTGCTAGGCTCCCAGCTGGCTTTCAGTCACTTCCCTCACTACCCACAAGCAAATTGGGCCCTTCCAGTGCTAATTCCTGGGTGGGTGGGCTTGTGTATGTTCTAGGACTTAGTGGGTCTCTCCAGCAAACCCTCCTGTGAGGCTGGGAATTTGTACCACTGACATAACCCTGATGTTTTTTTTAAAGATTTTATTTATTTATATTTAGAGGGTAAGGGAAGGTAGAGGGAGAGAAACATCAATGTGTGGTTGCCCTTCATGTGTCCCCTGCTGGAAATTGGCCTGCAACCCAGGCATGTGCCCTGACTGGGAATCGAACAGTGATCCTTTGGTTCGCAGGCCCATGCTCAATCCACTGAGCTACACCAGCCAGGGCTACAACCCCGATGTTTTTACAGTCAGAGGTTTCGAGGCTTTAGTTGCCCACCCTGGAATCCTGGTTGCATGGTCTGTCTTGCTCCCCAGTTATTTCTCCCAGGTGCCTGGTCCACTGCCTTGCTGCACATCCTCTCATCCCTAGTTTCCAGTCTTGACTCCTCCTACCAGTCTGGATCAATGTTTCTTCTTTAACTTCTTGGTTGTCAGACTTCCATACAGTTTGATTTTCTGGCAGTTCTGGTTGGATTTTTGTTTTTAAATTAGTTGTTGTCCTTCTTTTGGTTGTGCAAAGAAGCAAAACATATCTACCTTCACCTCCATTTTGGTTAGAAGTCACGGTAAGTCAAATCTTCTTGAATGAAGAGTTTGGATTGTGAGTTCACTGCAGGGATAATGAATCAGGGGAATAAAAGCTAGGAAAAGTAGAGCAGAAGGCAAGGGAGTAGAAATGCCTCTGGGAAGAAAATAGTAAAAGATGCTTAAATTATTCTTCCTATTTTCTTCTCATACTAGGAGCTCCTTCCCTGAACATACTTGCTCTTACTTAAATAATAATGAAAAATTCTCCATATTTTCTGATTTCAGAAACTTGGGAGGGAAGTTTCTCGGATTTTGCTATCCTCCTATTCCTTGGAATCAGCTATTGCATTCACATACTGCACCTTTGCCTGTGTTGATTTGGTAAGTGTTTATCTACTCTCTGGCATATTAAGAAATATTGATTTTAGTGAGCACATTCTATGAGGAGATGAAGTGCACTGATACAATATGTTTAGAATTACTAAAATGGAATATGTGATTTTTTAAATTTTTTTCATCTTATTGTTTATAAAATTACAAAAAGACTACATGAAATAAATAAAAGAGTAAAAACTTAGAGTAAAAAGTTATTGTCTTCTTAATGTAATTTTTGTCATACCCACACAGGCAAATCTTCATAAAAAGACACAGACAGGCACGCTCAGAGTTTTCTTTGTTACTAATTGTGTGATCATACTCATATTGTTTGGTCACATGCATTTTCTTCAACTGCCATAAAAATCTTTTCATTATAAAGCACTTCTAAACAATGCCTTTTAATAGTATCATACTTTTTCTTATATTTCATTTTAACATTCCTTTATTGCTGCATATTTAGCTTTTTTCCAATTTTTTAAGTTATAAAGAATGATGCAATAAACATCTCAATACATATGTCTTTGCATGTAAGACTAGTACTTCTGTCGGTATTTGATCTGTTTAAGTGTACAGTTGACCCTTGAACAACGCAGGGATTAAATGAGCTTAGCCCCCATGCAGTTGAAAACCTGCATATAACTTTTGACTTCTCCAAAATTTAACTACTAATAGCCTATTGTTGACCAGACACCTTACTGATACATAAACAGTTAAATAACACATATTTTGTATATGTATTATTACAATAAAGTAAGCTAGAAAAATTATTATTAAGCAAATTAAAATGAAGAAAAATACATTTATAGTAAGTTTATGCCGTCTGTTTATAAGATGAATTGCCTGTGAGCATCAATATTGTCTTACAGGTTATGCATATTACTAACACTAGACATCAAAAATGAAAATATGAGAAAAATTTATATTTCATAGGTTAAAAGGATTTATGCATTGATAATGAAAAAAAGCTATCTGATTGCTAGTATAATGGATATGATTGACTCAGAGTATCAGCCTATACTCTAATAATTAAATCATTACAAAACCTTTGTTACATACGGTATTATAGTCATATTAATAATGCAGTATCAGAAACATTGTTACAGTTTTAAAGAAATCATTTATGTGGGATGACAGGCTGATATGCAGTTCCTCCAATTATGAGAGAGACAGAGGCATACTCTACAGCAATATAATTCTGTAATGACAATGTTGTAATCATTCTCTAGACTTTCATGATGCTCTGTCTGTCAGGGTTCTATTCCATAGCATTGAAAATTCTTTCTATGAAGTACCATGTTACCATGTATAATGATGATCCTTAAGTGTCCTTTTGATCCGCTAATGTAGAGGCTGAATCAGAGATGTTGTGTTTGGGAGCAGGTAGCCCACTTCAACACTTTCAGTGTTGAACTCATGGGGTTCCTGGTGGCCAGGTGCATTGTCCAATATCAAAAAAACCTTAAAAGGCAGTTGCTTGCTGGTTAGGTACTTCCTGACTGCAGGGAAAATGAGCAGTGGAGCCAATCTAGAAAAAGGGGTTTTGTTGTCCAGACCTCCTTTCTTGAAAGGCTGGCAGCTGGTGTTTATCTTTCCCAAGGCTTAGGGAAGAATCCGCTTTACAGATAAGAGTGGTCCTGATCATAAACTCTACTGTATTTGCACAAAACGGTAGTTAGTCTATCTTTTTCTGCCTTAGATCCTGGTGCTCTTTTCTCTTATTTACTAATAATATCCTTTGTGGCCTTTCTTTCTTTTTTTGACAGAATAGGACACTTTCATCTTCATTAAAAACCTGTTCAATCAGATATGCTTTCTCTTCATGATTTTCTTAATGGCTTCTTGGAATTCATCTCCCCCTTGGTCAGCAGAAGCTGCTTCTCCTGTTATCTCCATGTTTTTTTAAAGCCAACCTCTTTCTAAAATTATCAAACTCTCCTTTGCTGGCATTAAATTCTCCAGCTCTAGCCCCTTCACCTTCTTTTGCTTTAAGTTGACATGTGATGACTTTGTTTTTTCTTGAGTCACATTAGAGTCTATAGGTAAGTAGTTCTTAAGGCAATCCTGCACCCACACAAAAGCTGCATTTTCAATGCAAGAGAGAAAGATATTTCACAAAAAAATGCAAGGCTTTTGTGCCTGCTGTCACAGCTGTAGTGGCAGTGTCACAAATTTCCTGTTGTTTTTACATTTGGATTTCTTTATCTCAAAATGGTGGTCAGGCACAGCTACAGATCTCAATCTATGGGTGTGTGTTAGATATCAAACAATTCAACTTTTTCTTGGAATGTCATGACCTTTTTCTCTGCTTCTTGGGACCACTTCCAGCATCATTAACATTGGGTCCCATGGTGTTATTCATAGTTTACAATATCATACCTAACACTTTGAAAAATATGTAACAACTGTGAGATCCCTTTTTACTGCAATACACAGTATACTGGAGAGAAAAAGTCATGTGGAGTTGATTAGCATCACATGACATTTAATCATGTACTTGCAACACTTGAGCTTACCAAAGTGACACCAGGAGATGGCTACAAAATTATTACAATAGTGCAATAAGAACTACAGTTAATTTTATGCAGTTAGGATTTAATATGGCATCTATTTGTTTACATTTCTCTCAACTGTGAATGGTTCTATGTATAGTCAGTGTTTTATGCATAAGCTATGGTACATTGAAATGTATCGTAATAACTTGTGTATGGTAGTAAGCGATTAAATGGACTGCTGTTTACATATATTTTATGCATTCATGACATACCTGACTTTTCTTATTTTTTTCAATGTTTCTACTCTACACAGTTCATCTGTTTTTTCAAATTATCACAAATCTCTAAAAAGTTTTTCAATATACTTACTAAAAAGAATCTTCAGTTCAAACCTGTATTGTTTAAGTGTCAACTGTAATTGCAAGTTTAATAACATCTCAAATTGCTGTAATAATTCACAGTACTACAAAAATTTATGCAAATGATTTATTTTCTCATAGCTTAAATAGACTATATATATTTATTCTTTCTTTCACAAATATTTATAGAGAGCTTACTATATATTAGGCATTGTAATAGGCACTAAGGATGCAGTGATTAACAAGACAGCATTCCTATTCTCAGGGAGTTTCTATTTCAGTGGGATGCAAAGAAAGACAATAAACATATGCACAATAATTTTATGAAATGAAATAAAACAGAGTAAAGAGATAAAGCAAAGATTATTTTATACAAGATGGTACGGGGAAAGCATTTTAAGTAGAGACTAATTGAAGTGCAGAAGTAACTACAGGGCTATATGGAAAAACAGTTTTCCAAGAATAGAAAATGTGTGGGACTTCCAGAATCACTGAGTAAGGATCTGGCAAATGTCCTGAAAAAGAAATGATAAAACTGGAGAGAATTGTCAGTAAACAGTTTTTAACTATTCCAGACACTTATCAAAGAATACAACAAATGAGAAGTATTTAAGAAAATTTACTGAACCTCAGTAAGAACAGTGGGTGTCTGTGACATTTTATCTTGGTGCTACTCTGATTTTTCTCAACCGCTCCCCACCCCGACCAGGTTTCATTTTGCAGAAGTTTACCTGGGTGAGTTAGACTGTGAAGACCAGCAGTCTCACTACTGGAGAGGGATGATTTTATTTATAGGAAAGCACAGAAATTTCCATGACCAGAGGTGTCATTATAACAGTAGAGATCTCAGTAACAAACAATTTGGAAAAACCAATATAACATCTAGCCTAATTGAAATCACAATACTTGTTAGGACAAGAAGTTGACTGGTAACTGGTTAGAAACTTAAAAGGAGATTCTGAGAATAAGAGAGCCAAAGTGGGCCTTGGTGATATCCTACTTATCCCTGTGGTCTGGAAGATTATATTTGTGTCAAGAGCTATCTATGCATGCACTGAGGAGGCTGGAGAGGGTCTTAGTAAACTAATTATACTTGGCTGAATAAAGAGGCCTTGCAAACACAGAATAAAAGCTGGGGCAGATTTACAAATAGTTTAAACTTTGAATAGATTCCTTAAACTACACTTATTCACTGACAAAGGGTAGATCCCACTGCAAGAGATCCAAACTCCACAATATCAGTGTAGGGGAGTCATAAAAGGCGGCAGTGACAACCCTCCTGGGGGAAGATGAAGCAATCAGAACCTGAAGTTGTTACAGTATATCCTGGATACAGGATACAGTAACGAATCCATTCTTAAACAACAACAAAATATAGCATGCAAAGAATGAGAAATAATGAACCATACACTTGGGAAAAAGCCACCTTTTGAGGGGAGAGGAAGACAAATGTTGAATTTCACAAAGAAAGACTTCAAAGACTAAAGGAAAATATGTTTAAAGAATGTATGACAATAACTCATCAAATAAGATTATCAATGTCTATTATCTTGATTGTGGTGATAGTATCACAGTGTTTGCATATGTCTGAATTTATCAGATTTTACACATTAAATATGTAGTTCTTTGTATGTTAATTATATCTCAATGAATCTGTTTAATTTTTAAAATAAGATAGAATTAAAGGAGATATAAATTATTAAAAAGAATAAAATGGAAATCCTGGAGTTTAAAAATAGAATTGCTGAGATTAAAAAATTATTAGAGAAGCTTAAGAACAGATTTGAGCTGACAGAAGACAAAATCAGCAAACATGACAGAGCAATATAAATTCTCCAGGCTGAAGAACAGGGGGAGAAAAGGACAAGAAAAATGAACAAAGTCTCAGAGATCATTGGGACACCATCTAATTACACCTACATGTGAATAATGAGATCCCCAAAAATGAGAGAACAGAAAAACCTTGAAGTAAAATGGCCAAAATTTCCCCAAATTTAATGAAAAAATATTATTCTATACATTAGGAAGCTCAATAGTCTCCAATTAGAATAAACGCAAAGAGATTCATTCCTAGACATTTCAGAGCCAAGCTGATTTTAAAAATTGTGAGAAAATCTTTAAAGCAAGAAAAAAATGATTTTTCATATACAATGTAACCACAATAAGATTAACAGCTGATTTATCATCAGAAACAATGGAGTCCTGAAGGTAGTAGAATAGCATATTGAAGTACTGGAGGAAAAAATAGTCAGCATGAATTCTCTTTTAAAACTATTCTTCAAAAATGAAGGTGAAATAAAGATACACATGATGAAAAAAGACAGAGACTATGTGACTAACTGCTTTATAAGAAACACCAAAGGAAGTTCTTTAAACTGAGAGAAAGCAATACCAGATGGAACACAAATACACATAAAGAAATAAAGAGCATCAGTGAAGGTAATTATGTAGATGGCTATAAAAAAAAAACAGTATAAGTATATTTTTTGGTGTTTCCTTGACTGATTTAAATAACTATGGCATGAATCGCACTGGGCCTACCCGGTAATCTTAATCTCCTTATTTTAAGGTCATGTTATTATCAATCTTAATTCCATCTATCACAACTCTACTCAGCTGTACCTTGTAGCATGAAAGCAGCCATAGACCATACATAAATTAATGGATTTGCCTTTGTTTCAATAAAACTTCACCACACAGGTTGTGGTCCAAATTTGGTCCAGATCCATAGTTTGCCAACCCCTATTCTATAGATATAGTATTTCTCTACTTTTTTCTATGAAATTTTAAAAGACTTATGATTACAAAAGCAATAACTGTCACAATATATTATGTGCATGGCATAGGTACATATAATATGCATGACAATAATAACACAAACAAAGGGGGAAGAAATGAGACCTACATGAGACCTACATGTAGACCTATATGAGAACAAAGTTTCTATATTTTACTGGGATTAAATTAGCATTCATGTGAAGCAGATTATGACAAATTAAGATGTATATTATAATCCCTAGACCAATGACTAAGAAAACTTAAAAAAATATATAGTAAATATCAACAAATTTAAGATGATACACAAAGTATTTAATTTTTACAAAAAAAAGGTAAAGGGAGAACATAAAGTACATGAGACATATAGAAAAACAAAAGCTATTCAACACAAATCATTTCAATAATAATATTAAAATAAAACTACAATAAAATATTAAGTACTTAACAGAATGACTAACTTTCACAATATAATTTTAAGTGATGGTAATGATTGGGTAAAAGAAATGTCTCACACATCCCCAGTTGGAATATAAATTATATAAATTTGGGGCATTAATTACTAAAAGTTAAGGTGTGCATAGCCTACCAGTAACTTCAGTCCTTAGTATACATCCAAATAGAAATGTGTGCACATATGCACATACTACCAAATATTCTTCTAGGAAATTTATATATGTACTTTATAGTAGCTCCAAAGTATAAACAATGCAAATGGATGTACAATGAATATATTGAGATATATTATTCCAATAAAATTATACACAGTAATTACAATGAACTACACCTATATTTAACAATATGGATGAATCTCATGTATATAATGTGGAGTGTAAGAAGTCGAACACAAAAGCATACTTTATAATTCTATTCACATGAAGTTTGAAACCAGGCAAAACTAAAACTATAATTTTTAGGGGAGAATACAAGCTAGCTGGTAGAACTAGAAAGAAAAGAAAAGCTTAATTACCTAAAAGTCAAAATGACTTACTTTTGAAGGGAAGGAATAAGTAGTAATTGGGAAACACCATGACAAGGTGACTTTTGGGATGCTGGCAACTGTTCCGGGTAAGGAAGACCATGAATATTTTTTATTGTGAAAGTCTAGAAGTAAAGCAAAAGTTACAAGTAGCCCAATAGGAATTAAGACAGTGATTGTGGTAGAGATTGGACAGAGTGAGGACAAATGTCACTTTAACATTTTATTCTATAAATATCAGGATTGCTTGTATTTTTAAAAGTATTTATTACATGTATGATTTTAAGAAACATGATTTTAAAGAGGTTAATTTTTTTCAGGGTCGTAGTAATGAAGATGCTCTTTCAACTGTTACAGTGGAAGCTGAGAGCAGTTTTTAAAAACCTTGGAAATGTGAGATTTTTCCTGGTACCCAGACCTGATGTGAACCCTAATGATATCTCTGTATAACAACGTTGCTTCAAAACCTACAGATGTTGTGCAAAAGAAAATATAAAACAAGTTGGATTTTTTTCTTCTCAGTATTCAAGAAATTTCTTTGCACATATTTTTGTAGGCCCTAAGTGGAAAGCTTTTTCCTATTTAAATCTGATATTCTTACAACGAATAATTTTTTTCTAGGTATTCTGAAGAGCTTTCAGCTCTCTAATGGAGTTTTCCTAAGATGCCACAAACAAGATCTATGATTTTCTGTAGAGTGCAGACTATGAAGACTTGGGAGCATGTTACTGTATTATTCTCAGGAAAACTTTAAATAATTTATGCCCCTATGAGTAAAGAGTACATTTCACTCTTAGTTCTTCTACCTAATCTAGCTTCTACCTGAATAAAGTATTAATCAAAAGGCATCCAACTCATAGTCCCTTCATTGGTCTCGTTTGATTTCTCATGAAAGTTTCTTTCTGCCCTGCTGTGGGGTCAATACACGGCTCCCCCACCACCTGCAACAAGGGCTGGCCAGGGGAATGTGTACTGTTCTGAGAATGGATTGTAACTCCTTTTTTATCTCTTTTGGGAGTGGCTTCTTGTCCTATGACTGCTTCCTGACCTTTTCCTTCTGCAAATACACAGTGAAGTATTGTAGCTCCAGGCCACATGTAAGTTTCTGCAACCTGGACCCATGCTGCCTTTGTCTGGGACCCCTTTTAATGAGCCTCAAATGAAGGAGGTGCTGTCTGTCTCACATCAACATACCACCTTTGGTGCAGTCTCCTGTAATGTGAGTAATGATGGCAAAACAAATTTGAAATTAAGTCTAAATATATGAATATAACAGCAATTAAGCATAAATGATGAGAAAAACTCTGAGCTACAAGAAAAAGCAGTAAGAAAAATCAGAATGAAATATTTACAAAATGGTACAAAATGCAATGCAGACGGTGGACAGAGCAGGAGACATATGGTGCTAATGAAAAGTTTTAATAGCATGTATTTGGATTTCAAAAGGAAAATAGGGATAAAAGCAAATAGGTAATATTTGAAAATAATGTATCTGGGAATTTTCCCAACTTGATAAAAAAATTATAGTTTCAAGAAGGGTTACAATCCTAAGCTAAGTAAATATAAGGGAATCCACATCTAACTACATCATAATAAAACTGCATAAAATGAGCCATAAAAAGAAAAGTCTTAAAAATAAACAAGGAGATTCCCTTTTCATTTTGCTGATGTTTTCTTCAGCTGTGCAGCAGCTTTTTAATTTGATGTAGTCCCATTTGTTTATTCTTTCCTTTACGTCCCTTGCTCTAGGGGACATATCAGTGAAAATATTGCTACATGGAATATCTGAAACTTTCCCACCTATGTTCTCCTCTAGGACTTCAAAGCTATAGCCAAGTGATGGAAACAGCCTAAGAGCCCATCAGTAAATGAGTGGATCAAAAAACTGTGGTACATTTACACAATGGAATACTATGCAGTAGAAAAATAGAAGGAGCTCATACCCTTTGCAACAGCATGGATGGAACTGGAGAGTATTATGCTAAGTGATATAAGCCAGGTGGTGAAACATAAATACCATATGATCTCACCTATAAATGGAACCTAATCAACAAAACAAGTGAGCAAAATAGAACCAGAGATTTTGAAATAAAGAACAAACTGACAGTGGCCAAAAAGGAAGAGGAGGGAGATAGCGGGGTAAAGAAGAGTAAGGATCAAGTCAAGGAACATGTGTAAAGAATCCATGAACAAAGACAACGAAGTAGGGGATGACTGAATGTGGGAGTGGGTAGGACAGGGGAGAGTAATGGGGGGCATGGAATGGGGACAACTGTAGTTGCACAACAATAAACAAAAGAAAAATAATAAATTAAAAAATTTCATTCCCCACATAGCACAGTGGGGAGGCCTCCAAGAAATCTACACCTTTCTCTTGAGCCCAGATACCACCTGAATCTCTTCCTCCCTGGTCGGTCCTCCTGTAAGGCCCCTTCCTGACAGCACACAGAGTTTGGGGCTGTGTCAGTCCATCAGGGGGGTTCTAATAACCATATCTCAGAGGGATGTGGTGCCACTTCAGTCCCTTGCCTTCTATACAAATTCTCTCAACTTCATCTCAGACAACGTCTACCTTCCAACAATTACATTTCAACAATGAAAAGCATCCTTTGTCAAGCCCCCACCAGGCTCACCACCAAAAATGTTCTTTTACATTTTCCCAGTTGTACATTAGACACCAATCTTTTAAATTTGTGTAGCCACATATGTGGCCAGAGAAGAATCCCAAAGGACTGACTGCACACCATAATTATGTTTTATAACCATTTACAGAAAGAAATGGCAACTAGTTTGCTCTGCTGAAAGTGTTTTCAGTTATGATACATTAAACATCTTGTGGCATTTTAAATTTAAATCTCAGATGAGCCCTGGCTGGTGTAGCTCAGTGGATTGAGCACAGGCCTGGAAAGCAAAGGGTCGCCAGTTCGATTCCCAGTCAGGGCACATGCCTGGGTTGCAGGCCAGGTCCCCAGTAGGGGACACATGAGAGGCAACCACACATTGATGTTTCTCTCCCACTTTCTCCTTCCCGTCCCCTCTTTCTAAAAATAAATAAATAAAATATTAAAAAAAATAAATCTCACATGATATATACCTGTTTATACATAATTTTTAACTGAGGATATGGTTAGCAATAATTCATAAAATCATTATTATGGGTGCTTTTTCTCTTTTATAAACTTTCTATAATTTCACATTATTATATATTAAGAGATATAAATAGGTATAAGTTTTCAGGCTGTGAGAAATATTCATATTCAGCATCTTGGAGTGAGCACAGAATCTCATTGGACAAAAAAGGCAACATCTGAATCATCCTTTACTGCTAAAGTCAACACTATTTCTTTCTAGTAAATCAGGACATAAACCTACTATGAAGGGCTAATATAGATAGAATTGGAAATTTGAAAATGATCTCCCTAAACAGTTTTCCTGGGAAGTTGAAAAATTCTGCAGTAAGCATATTCATGTTTTGTTTGTTTCTGTGTTTGTTTGGCTTATAACTGAGTGTTTAAACAAAACTCCTATAGAAAACTGCACAAGTTTGAAGTTTGTTTTCTATATCTTCACCCTCCTAAGAAAATAGGGGAACATAAGTATGATTTTCTGTCTCAGAAATGTTTTATTTTATTCAGTATTATGTCGTTCCTGGGGCCAAAGACATTTGGTACGTCATGATCAGCCATAGGATTAAGGACACATTGAAATATTTGGCCCCTATATTTTATAATTTGCTGTACACAAAAAATGCAGGATATTTTAAGTATCTTTACAAATCGACATTTTATTTTATTTTATTTTTTCTGGAAACATAGCCCAAGAAAGGAGGATGCAGAAGTTATTCAGTAAAGACAGAAGTATTTCTACTCTCGTCTGTGTCAGCTTTCTCCCACACACCTCATTCCCTGTCCTTGTCCTGAGAGCCAACAGATTCAGCGGAGCTTCTGGGCCCCCACCACAAAGGTGTCCGCCCGCGCGGGACTCCTCTCGCAGTCCCACCCGCCTTCCAAACCGCGCTCTTGGCCACAACCGCAGCGTTGGAACCGCGCGAGGAGGGATGAGAGGTACCACCACCATCACCATCGCCATCTCCATCTCCATCTCCATCACCACCACCACCACCACCAAGGAAGCAGCCAGCATCCATGCTGCCAAGATTCTTGGAGCAGAAAGGTCTAGAAGTAAGGTTGCCAGCTGCTAGATCGTGCCCCTGTAGCCTTGTGATCACGTGAAAGTAGAAATATGGGGTCATACCCCAGATGTGGAGGGAGAGGCGTTCCCAACGCTAGTTCTTGTTTGAGTTTCAATTTTGAACCAAGCCTCTTCTTTGCCCCCGGATACACTCCTGTAGGTTTTTTATTGCCGAGGACACAACCTTTGAAAAAGTAAAGGATATGGGCAAAGTCACATAGCAACTGGTAAGGACAAGGTTTAAGCTCAAGTTTGACTCTTTCCAGCTATATCTAAATTTTCTCAGTTTCAAGTGTCAGTACGCCATCTCAGGGGCAACTGAAATCGTACATCCTGTGGTTTATGTAAATGGAAGGAAAAGTTTTTAAGTTAAAGAATTTGAAAACAAGGTCTCAGACTTTGGCTATGGCTATAGACAAGGGGATGAAGGGGGAAAAAGAAATCAGACATTGAAAATTTTGGAGAGTAGTTTGCCAAAGCTGTATGATTAGGAGACAAGGTAATTTTAAAAAACAAAGAAAGAAAGAAACAGAAACTATCTCTTACTAGTTTTAGCAAAATGAAGACATATTACTGTAATGTAACAACAGACATGTTTACATAATGTAAGGGCAAGAAATCAGTCAGGTTGCCAAAAGAAATGGGAACTAGAATATTAAAAATCATCATAAACTCCTCAAGTTCTGTCCCTTCTCGTCTCTGCTTTTCTTTAGGTGTCCTCTCTATTCTTCTCTCTCTCAAAACTTACTTTCTCTACAACTCTCTCCATTAGGGGAGAACATAGCAATGCCACTGCTCTGAAGGTTTTAAATCTTCTTATCAAGAGATCACCCGAAACAACCTGAGAAAGAATAGATTATGGGCACAGCTTAAGTCAGATGTCACCTTTGTCCCAATCAGCTAGGCTTAAGAACAGATTCTCATGGATGTTAAATATGGAGTCTAGGGTGACTGATATGAGCTATACAAAAACTCCAAAGGTTATCTGCAATTTTAATGATAGTTGTCTGTGAGTTTAATTTGTCTTATCTATTGCCACCTTTCCTAAGGAAAATTTATAGCACTTTATTTTTCAGCTTCCTGTGCAGATGATATGGGCATGTAATTTGGGTCCTGCCAGTCAGGTGCCTCTGCACCAGACTTTAATTTGGAAGGAAATAACACTTAGTAAGAGAATATGCTATAACAAGGAAAAGTCCAATTTTCCTGACCCTGTGAAGGTGGGATATGGGTAAATTCTAGTGGTATTGGTGGATAGGGCCACACACCACATATTATGTAATACAGTCCAATTTGAACTTGGCAAATAAACAAACATATTTGAAAAATATTGGATTTTTTCAAGATAGCAATATTGCCAGCTTAATGAAATACATCTAAGGTCTAAAAAGTAGTGAGAAAATTAACAGCTCTAAGATTCAATCTCTTCCTCAATTTTAAGTATCTCATCCAGGAAAATAATTATTACTCTGTCTCATGTTTCCCACAGAAAAGAAACACGTGTAACCTCTCTTTTTTTTCTGTTGCATTCTGGTGGAAAATGCCAAGAACTGATCTGAGAATAAAAAAAGAAACAAGAATGTTGGGGGTAAGGACTAAATGCTACTTGAGTGAATAAATGACTGTGATGTTGCAATTTCTAAATATAAA